ATTCAAAGTGTATACACATTTTGGGGGGACACCATATGGTGTCCCCCAAAATGTGTATACACTTTGAATAATTATAGAGGAAGTGTTTATTAAAATACACTTCATTTTCAAAATTGAGCTATCAGCTGTTAAAGTGTGTATACATTTTTGGGGGGACACCCTATATATCCCAAAGAACCGAAAGCAGGGTCTTGATGAGATATTTGCACACTCATGTCCATAGCAGCGTTATTCATGATAGCCAAAAGGTGGAAGCAACCCCAAAATCCATCAACAGATGAATGAATAAGCAAAATGTTGTATATACACACATTGGAATATTATTCAGTCTTAAAAAGGAAGGAAATTCTGACACATGCTACAACATGGATAAATTTTGAGGAGACTGCGCTAAGAGAAATGAGCCAGTCACAAAAAGACAAAAACTGTTTGATTCCACTTATATGAGATATTTAGAGTGGTCAGATTTATAAAGACAGAAAGTAGAATGGTGGTTGGCAGGGGGGTGGGGAATTATTGTTCATTGGGTGCAGAGTTTTTCAAGATGAAAAGAATTCTGGAGATTGTTTGCATAGCCATGTGAATATCCTTAACACTAGTGAACTGTGCATTTAAAAATGGTTGAGATGGTAAATTTTATGTCCTATGTATTTTACCACAATTTAAGAAAATGAAATTAATTAGTTACAGGCCTACTTTGCTTTATTGTGTTTTGCCGTATTGTGCTTCACAGGTGTGTTTTTTAGAAATTGAAGGCAAGACCCTCCACCAGCAAAAAGATGATGACTGGCTTTATTGTGGTTCTCACTTTATTATGGTGGTCTGGAACCATAACCACGTTATCTCCAAGGTATGCCTGTATTTCTGGGGAGGGGGATAGATAAGCTGCAAATGATTTGGGGGGGCAGCAAATAAATGCAAATGAGTTCTATCTGAGAGAAAAGATAACCCCCAAAGTTTAGTCTTATGGCCTTGTAAGACATTAACTACTTTTTTCTTATTTAAAAATATTTTGCAATGTTTTCCTAGCATTCTGTTTTTCACTGACCAGTGACCATATATTTTCTATCTATCTACCTATCTAATCAGTTTTTCATATTCTTCTTTGAACCAGCTGTATCATCCTATTGCTTCTCTCAATAATAAATAAATAAGTAAATAAATATTTGACATATGTTCACTATTTTGTATGGAAGTCCTTTATGTTCAAATATCAATTTTTAAAAAATATATCTTTATTGATTTCAGAGAGAGGGAAGAGGAGAGAGAGAGAGAGAGAGAGAGAGAGAGAGAGAGAGAGGGAAACATCAGTGATGACTCATTGATCAGCTGCCTCCTGCATGCCCCCTGCTGGGGATCCAGCCCACAACCTGGGCATGTGCCCTGACCGGGAATTGAACCCTGATCGCCTAGATCCTAGGTTGATGCTCAACCACTGAGCCATGCCCAGCCGGGCTCAAATATCAATTTTAATGGTTATAATATTCTAATATTCTATTAGTCACCACTTTTTGGACCTTTAGGTTAGTTCTCCTTTATTATATACAAACTGAGATAAATTTAACTTCAGCACTGAAGTTAAATCTTCGTACACATACTTAAATATTTCCAGATAATGTTTTTCTGAAAGTAGAACTGCTGGGTCAAAGAATACACATATTTTAAATATCTAATTTTAAGTTTTAAATTACTATATGTCAAACAAGCCACACAGAACTACAGGATGTAGAACAAACAAGCTTCAATCTCTTGCCTCACCCCTTCCCACCCTCAAGTTCAGTGACTCAAAGAAACAATTCCAGCTCTTTTAGCTGATATTTATCTTCTGGTATTTATCTTGATATATCCAAATAGTATGCTTATACTGGTATTTCTAGATTCCAGCAAGTTCTCTCCTGTCTTTTGCAGTCAATCCCCACCCTCCTCCCAGGCAACCACTGATTGGATTTTATCGCTAGAGATGAGGTTCACCCGTTCTTGGACTTCATGTAAATGGAATCATTTTTGAAAATTATACTTTGAAGAGACAGACACCTAAAAAAGCAATTATAATTCAGTGGAAATAAGCTTGAAGAACACAAAGGCTGTTACAGTGTTTGTCAGTGAAGGATTCCTGGAATGAAAAGAATAAACCACCACTACCATCAGCAGCATTAGAAAGAACTACCCTGTTGTAGAATGTTATGTATGCGGCGGGGGTGGGCATAGGGGATGGAAGGAGGCGCAAGTGAGGGAGTGCCAGGGGGAGAGGGCATGCACAAAGCCTTGGGTGCAAGACCAATCCTGTTGGACTCAAAACTGGTTATACTAATTACTGTCCATTTTATTACCGTGAAAGTCGTTTGCTCTCCAAGATTTCCCCAGTACAATCAAGGACAATTATAAATAAATAAAATGATCTACCAGTTACATTTCAGTATTTCCCCTCCCTAGACCGTCCGCTCTTTGAAAGCAAGAGCTCCATAATTAAACTGTTGTCACCTAGTGAGCATTAATAAATATTGGTTGAATTGATGAATGAATGAATGAATGAATGAATGAATGAATGAGTGAGTGAGTGAGTGAGTGAGTGAGTGAGTGAGTGAGTGAGTGAGTGAGTGAGTGAATGAATTTACAAGTGCATCCAACTCCTAGGATGAAACGGTCGCCCTCGGAGGTGCAGCCTGGCCCAGAAGCCCTAGGACCAGCATGGTGCGGGAGCCAACTCCAAAGGACAAGGAGACGCTCTAGGAAAGCCTCGCTCTCGCTGCCATGGTGCCGCTCTAGCCGCGAGGACGCCGTTCTATGGCAGCTGGGGAGGGCGGGGCCGTGGGCGTCTCCGGCCTTTTTGTCAGAACGCGACGGGAGCGCGCTCCGCGCGTGCGTACGCGGCGGCGGTGGCAGCGCGCGGACTGTGAGAAGTGAAGTGAGGAGAGGCGAGGAGAGGCAGCCCCGGACCCACGGACCCACAGACTGAGCGGCCCCTACGGCCGTCAGCAGCCAGGCGGCCCGAGATGTTGTCCGGGAAGAAGGCGGCGGCCGCAGCTGCCGCGGCGGCCGCTGCTGGCTCAGAGGCCGGCGCCGGGCCAGCGGCTGGCTCGGAGAATGGCTCAGAG